GAGCAAGGAGAAATCAATATAAGTGTTCTTTGCCTTAATAAACCTAATGCTTCATGTTTCTTTCCACCGAGGGCTCTTGCATATACTGGCTTTGCTTGAAATACCATCTCCTCATGCACTCTTTGTCTGTTTACCTCCCTACTTGTTCACCAAGCTCAGCCCCAGCTCGCTCATGCGCTCTCTCTCCCTCTCCCCCCCCCTCCACAACTCTTTCTGATCACTACTTCCCAACGCTGCTGATAGCTTGGAGTTAAGCATTTTCTTCTACAGTTTGTTTTTGGTTAATATTTTTCTCTCCCTAGTAAAAACAACAATGACTACTTGGTTCAGCATCTCTCCCCAGGACAGACCTCAGAGTAGATGCCTGGACACATTGCTGCATGTGTCGATAAAATTTGGAAATGCCAGGCTTACAAATATAAATGACTCAGCTTTCATAAGCTGATTTCCTGAACTCAAGACTTAACTGGTGTGTAGACTTACCATTGCTCACTGTGGGGGGAGGGGTACAGGGGGATGGAGGAGTGCAGTGTGACCAACCCAATAGAATGGAATAAATATTACTATTCTACTTCCATCTGCAGCATGAGCATGCATCCTGGGGCTGTACAATGACTAGTTAATATAGCAGTACCTTCACTGTCTCCACTACAAAATGTTGTTTCAAAGTGCTTTGGACAAAAGCAAGAGTAACACAGACTTTTTTTTTTTGTCAGTTGTGGGGCTTGAACTCTTGGGCCTGGGTGCTATCTCTCAGCACTTGAGCTCAAGGCAAGTGCTCTACCACTTGAGCCACAGCGCTACTTTGGTTTTCTGAGTGGCTTATTGGAGATAAGAGTCTCATGGATTTTCCTGTCCAGGCTGGTTTGAACCTCAATCCTCAGATCTCAGCCTCCTGAGTAGCTAGGATTACAAATGTGAGCCACCAGCACCCAGGTAACACAGACTTTTTAAAAAAAATTGTGAAGTAGACAGCGCCAATGACTAAGAGAATATGGATTAACTGGAATTCTCATATTCTGTTGTTGGGAGTGTAAATTGGGACTAGCATAATCTAAGAAAGATGAAGATGACATGGCCTAAAATATAAATATATTTCTGTGTAAGTTACTTCTCAGAGAATTCACTGAGAAAAGTACTGTTCATGCTGGGCACCGGTGGCTCGTGCCTGTAATCCCAGCTACTCAGGAAGCTGAGCTCTGAAGACAGAAGCTCCAGGACAGCCTGGGCAGGAAAGTCTATGAGACTCTTATCTCCAGTTAACCACAAAAAAGCTGGAAGTAGAGCTGTGGCTCAAGTGGTAGAGTGCTAACCTTGAGCACAGAAGCTCTAAGATAGTGCCCAGGCCCAGAGTTCAAGCCCCAAGACCCGCCAAAAAAAAAGGTACTGCTCATGCAGAGTGGTCTTTGCATATTAAGTACAGTATGTACTAGCAGACTCCTGGAGCCAGCTTACAGATACTAAATACAGATCTATATGTAAATAAATCACAGTGAGTTCATACAGTGGAATGCTATGAAGTCATTAAAACTGAGTGAACTAGTTCTACCTATCTCAACATAAGTAGGCCTCAAAAGTGTATAGAATGGGTTAGAATAAAAGAAGACAACAGCATATAGTTCCCATCTAGGGAAAGAAAGAAGGAAAGAGAACAAAGAATGGGACTGGATCAACCTTAAGGAGACTTCAACTGTATCTGTAGTATCCATCCTTTCTTGCAAAAAGGGCTAAAAATGAGTTCTCTGGGGCATGTCTATCATGAGATGGTTTTATGTGGCCACTATTATATTTTTAATGGCTACTGAAGAAAGGAAAGGAAAGGAGGGAGGGTAGAGGGCGAGTGGGAAGGTTGAAAGGGAGGAAGAGCGGAAGAAAAGACAGGAAGAGAGGAATGGAGGGGAGGAGGAAGGGAGATGAGATTCTATTTTTGCCACTGAACCTCAGCCAAAAGGACCCCCTCATTTGCAAAACAGGATTAATAGCCCTCAAATTTCAGGGCTGACCGTGAGGATGAATGAGAATCAAATGTGTAGAAAAACTCCTAGAAATGCCACACTGAAATGGCCTTTCAGGGAAATCCCCAGGGGCCTCCCAAATGTGTCTCACTCCGGGAGAAATTTGGTCTGAAAATGGACCAGGAATTGAACTCGTGCTTTCTCCAGCCTACATCTGACCCTGGAAAACAAAAAAAAGAAGAACAAATGGCTACTCTCTGGGCAGAAAACCACATGCATCCATATTATATAGACAAATAGACATACCAGTTATTTAGTGGCTGGGACAGCCCTGAGGGAGCTAGAATTCAGGTAGATGGAGAGAGAGGGAGAGGAAGAGAAACTTGCATTTCTCTGCTATTATTTTTAATTGTGTACCATGGATGTAGGTTACCTATTCCAAAGGAAAAAAAAAATCATTGTGGTTTATTTTTCAATTAATCTGAAGGTCATGATCACCTCTTCCTCTTCAGTTATAAATCCACTTAAAGAGCAAAAGTCCTAAGATCTAAGTTGTGAAAAGGTTCCTGAGAACTTACAGAGCTCAGCCCGTAACTGGGTGGTGAGCACTGGCCTAGCATGCTTAAGGCCCTTTGTTTTATCCTGAGCATGTGGGGGGGGGGGGGGGGAGGGAAAGAGCGAAAGGGGAAGGAGAGGGGGAAGGAGGGGAAGAAGGGAGGAGAGAGGGATTATGTAGTCATGTCACTCAGGTGCTTTGTAGATCAGGGAACAACATCCTGGCCTCACTTTCTCCATTCCCTGGAAACTCAGGTTTGGGTCCTCTCACCGTGACCCACAAGTGTATGACCTTGTGTCCCACCCACTCTCAGAGCCCCCAATTTCATTTTTGAAGTTGATAAATGGTAGTACCCCCGCTTTCATGGCTGTGAGAAGAACCAAAGAACTAGAAGGAGTACAGAACTTTCAAATAGCTTGGGGGGGGGGGGGGGTGGCTGGCCCAGGAGGTGCCATTTGCAGTGGGGAGTCTGTCCTACGAAATCGTCAGTTCAATCCTTTCTTGGCTTCCATCTGAGTATCCAAACAAACAAAACACAAAGCATTACCCGAGGCCTCCCTCATAGCCTATGAAGTCCTATTGTCCTCTTTGCTCCAGAAACAAACCCAGCTCTCTTCTCTCCACAGCAAATATCCTGACGGTGATCATCCTCTCCCAACTGGTGGCCAGAAGGCAGAAATCTTCCTACAACTATCTCCTGGCCCTGGCCGCTGCTGATATCCTGGTCCTCTTCTTCATCGTCTTTGTGGATTTCCTGTTGGAAGATTTCATCCTGAACTTCCCGATACCTCAGATCCCAGATAAGATCATAGAAGTGCTCGAGTTCTCCTCCATTCACACTTCCATTTGGATTACAGTCCCGTTAACGATCGACAGATACATCGCCGTCTGCCACCCACTCAAGTACCACACGGTGTCCTACCCAGCCCGTACCCGGAAGGTCATCGTCACTGTCTATGTCACCTGCTTCATCACCAGCATCCCCTACTACTGGTGGCCCGACATCTGGAGGGAAGACTACATCAGCACCTCTGCCCATCACGTCCTCATCTGGATCCACTGCTTCACCGTGTACCTGGTACCCTGCTCCATCTTCTTCATCCTGAACTCCATCATTGTGTACAAACTCCGGAGGAAGAGCAATTTCCGCCTCCGTGGCTACTCCACGGGCAAAACCACAGCCATCCTCTTCACCATCACCTCCATTTTTGCCACCCTCTGGGCCCCACGCGTGATCATGATCCTCTACCACCTCTACGGGGCGCCCATCCGGAGCCCCTGGCTGGTCCACATCATGACCGATGTGGCGAACATGTTGGCCCTCCTCAACACAGCAATCAACTTCTTCCTCTACTGCTTCATCAGCAAGAGGTTCCGCACCATGGCATCGGCCACGCTCAGAGCCTTCTTCAAGTGCCAGAAGCAACCTGTCCAGTTCTACACCAACCATAACTTTTCTATCACCAGTAGCCCCTGGATCTCGCCGGCGAACTCACGCTGTATCAAGATGCTGGTGTACCAGTACGACAAAAATGGGAAACCTATAAAAGTCTCCCCATGACCCCACACAGGAGGCACTTGCGCCACATGGGGAAGGGTCTTGGTCCCATGGTTGAACAGCAATGAGGCACGGGGCGAGCCTGATTTCTCTCTCCACAGACCAAGCAGCTCCGACTGGTACAGGAGAAAACACAAAACAAAACATCAAGCAGAGAAACAGGAGTCTTGTCTTATTATTTACGTCTGCTTTCCTAAACTCCTGCAGACCGCCTGCTCTTGCCAGTCTGAAGATGCCATCGGAAGTGGTGTCAGCATCCTGAGATCTGTGAGGACACCCCGGGACCATCTCATCACCACTGGAGACCAACTGTTCGTGTAAATGACAACCATGCCACCGTAGCACGTGGCTGAGCCACAACTCTTCTTCCAGGAGCTGAGGTCACCCACCACGTCCCTGTGCTGTTCAGTCCAGTGCTGGCTCACTGGTTTGGGGTTCTTTTCTTTTCAAGGTGCCCTTGGTCCTGGGGATGGTGGTGGTCCTGCAATAGCACAGAATGGCACCTTAGGGGAAAAGAGGTGTAGTAAATTCCACCCAAACTCCGGCTGGGATCTCTGTGAGGAGTCCCCAAACCAACGGAACTATGATCCTTACACCTGGAGTCTAACATGCAGTTTTCTATTTGCTATGATGTATAGATTCTCTCTCTCTCTCTTTCTCTCTCTCTTCCTCTCCCTCTATCCTCTCCCTCTCTCTCTCCTCCAAAACAAAGACCCTTGTGCCTAGCGTACAGGGGGAGGGAAAGGAGGAATTCTTGAGCCCAGAAAAACAAAAAAGCAAGCCCCTCCCTGCCGTTGTCTGGTCCGCCCCTATGCTCGCCATTGCCAGTCCCTTCACTTGCAGTTGCTTCTCTTGTGGAACCACAGGAGCCTTTTCTGTGCCCAGTCGCGAACCCTGTCTCCTTGCCTGCTGTAACCCTCATCAAATGGTGTTTCTTTGAAGTGGCTTCGCTACCTGAATGTACTATTTAAGGGTCAGGAATAGCAGCTCTCTGGGTATGAGGGGCATCCTGCTCCTTCCAGCTCCTTCCTGCAGTCCAGTAAAAGCACTGCCAACGAACACAGACAAGGGTGAGCTATGGCAAGTGCTGTCCTATCCCAGGCAAATGACCCCGAAGGGTGGAGCCTGCTCTTAGGGAAGTGTTTAACTTAGATCCTTGGCAAGAAGGTTAATTTTTTTTTTTTTTTTTTTGGCTGGTCGTGGGGCCTGAACTCTGTCCCTCAGCTCTTCAGCTCAAGGCTAGCGCTCTATCACTTGAGCCACAGCGCCACTTCTGGCTTTTTTCTTTTTTGCTTATGTGGTGCTGAGGAATCGAACCCATGGCCTCATGCATGCAAGGCAAGCACTCTACCACTGAGCCACCTTCCCAGCCCAGTTACAATTTATTAAGTTTGTATTTATTCTCCCCTTGCCTAACTAAGGCAAGAAGAGTTCTAGTATGTAATTCATAATAGAGTCTTCACTGGGAATTCGCACTCACGTGACACACAAACACACACACTCACACTCACACACAGAGACATCTGCACACAGGATTGCCCTCTGTGTCCTGTGATGTGTTTTGAAAGGGAAATTTCTGCTGAGCTCCTCGTGTTCTGAATTTTGTATTGACCAGTTCCTCAGATTCCAGGTTTGGGAAGAAATATTCTAAAATGACTTTAGAGTAGCCGCATGCTGTTGTCCGGTCCCAAACAAACAACAACAAAAAGCAGACAGTCTACCTTGAACGTTTGCTTCCTTAGGGTGGATTGTTATTGCATTTAGTCCCTAAATTGGATGTCATGTCTCTATCTTTTTTAAGAGTGTTTCCAACAAATGAATGGAGTAGAAAAGGCCCCTGGGCAACACAAACCGAAAATTCAATACAGCCTTGAGTCCTAACATTCCAAATTTCTACTCTTTTTCTTTTTCTTTGTTCTTTTTATTTTGTGTTTGTCTGTGTCTGTCTGTGCGTGTACACGCGCTGGTCCTGAGGCTTGAACTCAGGGCCTGGGCGCCGTCCCTGAGATTTTTCACTCAAGGCTAGTGCTCTACCACTTGAGCCACACCTCCACTTCTGGCTTGGTGGTGGTTCATTGAAGATAAGAGTCTCATACTTTCCTGCCCAGGCTGGCTTAGAACTGTGATCCTCAGATCTCAGCCTCCTGAGGAGCTAGAATTACAGGTATGACCCACTGGCACTGGGCTTATCCAATTTTTTTACTTCTTTTTAATGATTGGAATGGAGAATCATGGGACCCAAGGATTTGATTCTAATGTGAAGTGCAAAAGACTAAAAAACCTAATTAAGCCCCAAGTTCCCCATGCAAAATCTTCAGGAAGGACAACCCCCAGAAAACCTGAGACAGCATCAAGTCTTTCCCCAGTGTTGGAACAGGTGGCTGGTTCTTGGGATGAAGACGAGACAGAATGAACTTGTGTTGAGGGACCCTGTTGTATGGTTGCAACTCCTCTGAGCCTAGTAGAGGTACCTTGGTGTAGCACGATGCTACCACTCACAGGCTGGAGAAGTTGCTGGACTGATGGACACTCAGATTCCCAACCTCCCATCTCACTGGCTCTTCAGGACACAGGTCTAGGAAGTGGGATGGTGAGCCCACCCTCCCATAGCCCATCCATGGCATCGCTTTCTTTTTCTACTTTTTTTGCCAATCATGTGTGATGAAATGTACATTCATTAACTGTGTGTTTGACACAATGCCACCACGTTCCCTTATGAATGAATGCTGACCAAAGGCTACTTATTCTGAATTTATATACATATATATTTATTATTTATTTTTAAAACATACAGCTCTGAAAAAAAAAGAAAGACTAGTTGGAGCTAGATGTGAATGAAGCTAAGTGCAATATCTTGTGTGTGTGTGTGTGTGTGTGTGTGTGTGTGTGTGTGTGTGTGTGTGTATGGGTGTGTGTGGGTGTGCTACATGTGGGGCTTGAACTCAGGGCCAAGACGCTATCCCTGAGCTTTTTTGCTCAAGGTTAGCATTCTACCTCTTGAGCCCACAGCTCCACATCTAGCTTTTTTGATAGTTCATTGGTGATAAGAGTCTCATGGACTTTCTCTTCCAGGACTGGCTTCCAATGGTGATCCTCAATCTCAGCCTCCTGAGCAGCTGGGATTGCAGGCGTGAGCCACCAGTGTTAGGTTTATGTGCAATTATCTTTAAAGTTGAATCATTCCTCTTTGAGGATATATGGAAAATGGAAAATTAAGTCTGAATTTCAATCTCGCAGCTCTGTGTCTTTAATTGTAAGTAAAAAATTAAGGACTAGAGTTCATAAAAAAGAAGACTTTTCCTCAAACACTCATTATGAGTTCTCTTAAATGGTAAGAGTAGTATTTTCATCTTTTTTCCTGCTATCTTTTCTATCTTACAGCATAGTCTTTTTTTAAAAAATCTGATTTTTGAAAGCACTCCAGTGGATTGCTATCTTTGACTGAAAATATATGAATGTCTACCATGTAACGTGAATACATGTCTCCTAAAATTTATCTCAGATCATATCAGGATCTTATTTATTATTGTGTGTGCACGTGTGTGTGTGTGTGTGTGTGTGTGTGTGTGTGTGTGCCAGTACTGGGGTTTGAACTCAGGGCCTGGGCATTGTCCTTTAGCTTTCTTGCTCAAGGCTGGCACTCTCCCACGTGAGCCATATCTCCACTTCTGGCTTTTTGATGGTTAACTGGAGATAAGGGTCTCATAGACTTTCCTGGCTGGGCTGGCTTTGAATGGGATCCTTAGATCTCAGTTTCCTGAGCAACTAGGATTACAGGCATATGCTACAGGCAGTCATCTAATTTATTATTATTTATAGTTATGAAAAGTTGGTTTTCTGATTTTTGTTTGTTTTGTTGGTTGTGGGGTTTGCACTCAGGGCCTAGGCACTGTCCTTGAGCTCTTTTTTTATTTTTTTGCTCAAGGCTAGTGTTCTACCACTTTGAGCCACAGCTCCACTTGGGTTGTTTAAAAAAAACAAACTTTAATATTTGTAGGCCTTTTCTTTTAGGCCAGATTTAGAAATAAAGTGCAAACAGCTGCTCCTGAGGTTGTACGGCTCCCTTAGCCTGGGTTTTTGTGGTGCCTCCATTAAAAACTGCTCAGCGATGTCTTCCTTTCTGTCTGGTCTGTGTCCTTGGCTTGGACATTGCAATGATTCTTACATGTGTGCTGGGCCTGTTTGCTTGAGCCATTCAAAGGCTAGATGGTCTCATGGGGAAGGGGAGGAGAGCATGACAGACAGACCATGGACCAGGAGAAGGCATTGGCATGGATTTCACAAACACTTTGCAATTGGGAGAGATACTTTGCCAAATTGGTTTTCATTCGTCCAGCATGAGGAGTCTACAAAGTAAACCAATTACCGATGTTAGCCATTGCAGCTCTAAGGATAGAATAGAAGGACACCACCGAAAATTAGTAAATGTTCATATTTTCTTAAGTAGACCATATATTGTGTTTGTGGACTTGTTTGTATTATAATAAAATCTAATATGGTGCGCACTGGTGTTTGGTTTGTGCATATGCATATATATGTGTATATTTATATATGTGTATATATATTCAAACAATTGAAGAATGCTGACTTTTTTATGAATATTATTTTTAATTGACCAGTTATAATTGTGTACATTTACAGGGTGCAATGTAATGTTTTGATATATGTATTTAATGTGGAATGATTAAATCAAGATAATTAACCTTCCTACCACCTTTCATTTCTCTGTGATGAGACATTTGGAACTTACTTTCTTAGTTGTTTTGCCATTTACAGTACAATATCACTGGGTTGGTCATCTCACCACACAACCAACTGCAAAGCATATCCCTCTTGTCTAACTGAATCTTTATCTCCTTGGACAGCAGCTCCTGATCCCTTCCCTGTCTGCCTTCCTGAGCCTCTGACACCAGGATTCTGTTTCCTACTTCCAGGGGTTCAAAAGTTTTAGATTCTAGCTGAGTGCTGGTGGCTCAAGCCTATAATCCTAGCTGTGCAGGAGGCTGAGATAAGAATAACAGTTGAAAGCCAGCCTGGGCAAGAAGGTCTATGAGACTCTTCTCTCCACTAAACTACCAACAAAAATAATGGCAGAAGTGGAGCCTGTGGCTCAAGTGATAGAGTGCTAGCCTTGAGCAAAAAGAAGCTCAAGAACAGTGCCCAGGCCCTGAATTCAAGCCCCAGGAGTGGCATGCATGCGCATGCATACACACACACACACACACACTTTGGATTCTACATATTATTTCAATAAGGTAATGTCTGTCCATACCTGTCTTGTGTCACTTTGTAGAATTTCCTCCCAATTTCAGAATACCGTTTAAAACTTTTTTTTTGTCAGTCATGGGGCTTGAATTCTAGGCCTGAGTATTGTCCCTCAGGTCCTCAGCTGAAGACTAGCGCTCTACCACTTGAGCCACAGCACCACTTCTGGTTTTCTGAGTGGCCTATTGGAGATAAGAGTCTCACGGACTTTCCTGTCCAGGCCAGCTTTGAACTGTGATCCTCCAATCTCAGCCTCCTGTGTAGCTAGGATTACAGGCGTGAGCCACCAGCAACCAGCTTGTTTAAAACTCTTAAATGGTTTTTCCAATAGACATTTTACTTAGCACGTTAAGCTGGGAGTTAGAATATCAGAGAACCACCTGCCTCCTGTTTCACCAACTGCATTTCCAAATTGAAGAACACAGAGCTCTGCCTTTTGAAATCTTAAACTGGGTCATTCGTAGGTACACATCTGGATTCTTCTCTGACATGATCCTCTGAGACCACACACAGCTGTAACCACAAGTAGAAATCTAGTGTTGCAGCTACCTGCTTAGACTTTGGGGTCCTATTGTCAATGGTTAGCATTCCAGCACAGATTTACCAGATATGAACAAATCCTTCAAGATCTCTGAAGGATTGTCCTCATTTAGAAAATTATGCAAAAATTTTCCCC